GACGCATTCACGTGATCGTGTTTAGACTCCTCATGCACAGGCGCAAATGCGGCAACCGTTGGATTGCCGACAGCCATCTGATGACCTTGCTGCATGCGTGCATGCGTGCGTGGGTGCTTGCGTGTGTCGCGTTCCCCGCATTCACGACCTCACGATTGTGACTGCGTGACTGATGTGCGTAGCTTTGTCATCGATGAGGCCCTCACCTCCCTTCAAGCTCCCTCCAGCCTGATTTTGCACGCATTTCCTCCTTTCTGCGCTCGCATTGCCATCGTTAGCCGGTGCTTCTCAACGACGGATGCTCCACGATGGCCAGCGGCGAGCGAGTCACGCTGACCTACACGCGCAGACCTTCCGGTCCTCTTCACGTTGACCTCTCACCTTTCACCCCTCCTGTGCGCGTGAATGATCCTTCCAGCTCCAAGCCACAACCACTCCCATTCGTCTTGTATCTGCACGGAGGCAACTTTCTCTCTGGCTCTCGTCACGATGTTCCAGCTTGGCTCGTGCAGCTCTGCAGCGCTAGAGGGTTCCCGCTGCTGTGCGCAGACTACAGGTTAGCTCCTCATGCGGGTCCGGGCGCTGCTTGGTCAGATGTGCAAGAGCTTTGGACGTTCATCAGAGAAGATTTGCCTTGGATCGTCTCGGCTGCTGGATCTGGAGCAGAGGTGGAGAGCGGAACGAAACCTCTTGATGAAGCGTGGGAAGATTTGCAAAGGAGAGGAGGATTGGATCATACCAGGTGCATCATCTTTGGTGCAGGCGCGGGAGGCTATCTCGCAGCACTGGGGTGAGTCGTGAAAGTCGAATATGGTGCCTCTCGCTGTTTGTTGGCTGACGGGCAGACTGGAACGTGTCTGCAAACCGCCCAGCGGCGCGCTCCTCTCTCCACCCCCCTTGAGCGTAATCATGGCCTATCCTATCCTCTCACTACCCGACGCAGGCTCAGCACCGACGGCATCTCTGCACCCCGTCTTGCGTGCAGCGCAGGCTGAAGATGAAAAGCGCGCCGCTCATACATCACCAGAGCTTCCAGCTCTGCTCGACAAGTCGCCTCATGTCGTAGCTGCCCGCGCAGAGGTCAGCATGGATATCCGACGGCCATGGAGAGGAGAAGCGGAGGGCCTCAGACGCGTGGGTCTCGCTGAAGCGCTTCTGCAGGCGAATGCGCTCTATCCTGCCCTGCGTCATTGGTCTTTGAAAGCGCTGAACCCGACCAAGGTAATCTCTGGCACTTCGCTCATCGCTCACGCTCCCGTCAATGAGCCGTATCCTCCCACCTTTATCTTCCACGGATCGGCAGATGACTTCGTTCCCGTCGACGCGACCATCGACTTCATGTCGGCACTACGAGGCTCAAACTCTGCCGCTGCGGCGCTCGACGATTTGCTGCCGGACGCAGGCAAAGGCTCGTCGAGCAAAAGGAAGACTAAACAAGGTTTCAAACCTGACGGTCGCGTGGAACCCACTCGTCGCTTTGCCAGCGTCATTGTGGAGGATGCAATTCACGCTTTCGATGCGCTCTTGACGCACGAAGACACAGCTCACACCGAATTCATATCGCAGCTCGAGCAGTGGCTGGTTCACAAGGTCGAGGACCGCTCTGCTCAAGACGCATCAGCTGTAGAATTCAAGGAGAAGCTATAGAAGAGCTCTCTCGGTATGCTTGCGGT